CCAACACATTGCTGGGCTGCATTAACAGGGATAGAATCAAGATCAGGTGAAGTGTTAATACCACTTTACAATGCCTTGGTAAGGCCACACTTGGAATACGGCATCCAGTTTTGGTCACCACGATGTAAAAAAAGATGCTGAGACTCTAGAAAGAGTACAGAGAAGAGCAACAAAGATGATTAGGGGACTGGAGGCTAAAACATATAAGGAACGGTTGCTGGAATTGGGTATATCTAATTTAATGAAGAGAAGGACGAGGGGGGACATGATAGCAGTCTTCCAATATCTCAGGGGCTGCCCCAAAGAAGAGGGAGTCAAGCTATTCTCCAAAGCCCCTGAAGGCAGGACAAGAAGCAACGGATGGAAACTGATCAAGGAGAGAAGCAGCCTAGAACTAAGGAGAAACTTCCTGACAGTTAGAACAATTAACCAGTGGAACAACCTGCCTCCAGAAGCGGTGAATGCTCCAACACTGGAGGTTTTTAAGAAGAGACTGGACAGCCATTTGTCTGAAATGGTATAGGGTTTCCTGCCTGAGCAGGGGGTTGGACTAGATGACCTCCAAGGTCATGCTTTAAACAGTTGTGGTCTAACTCCACATGAATGTTTTGAAAACAGACATTGGGTTACTAAAGAATTTCAGAATCACGTAAGGTTGTTTAAACAGACCGGTTTGGGTGGCGTCTGAGGAAACACTGATGGCTTTCAAGTTGAGGTTTGGCCCATGCTGCTGTTGTGTAAACGAATGAGTTGTGAGTCACTTCTCGCTCATGATGACATTTCAAGGCGAGGGGAGAAGTTAATCCCTTCCCTCCTTTTCATGTTTTTCTTCAGCGCTATTTATGACTTAATCCTGCCCTTTTCCCTCGCATTTTAATGTTTAAATCACAGGCAATGTGCCAAGAGTGAACTAAGATTCTTAGTGGATTCAAAATACGACAATGTGCAGATAGTCCTTGACGTACAAGCACTCATTTAGTGACCGAAAAGGCACTGAAAAAAGTGACTTGTGCCTGTTTTTCACACTTAACTACCATTGCAGCATCTCCAGGGTCACGTGATCAAAATTCAGATGCTTGGCAACTGACTCACGTTTATGACGGTTGCCGTGTCCCCAGGGCCATGTGATCCCCTTTTGTGACCTTCTGACAAGCAAAGTCAATGGGGAAGCCAGATTCACTTAACAACCGGGCTACTGACTGAACAACTGTAGTGGCAACAAAAGTGGTAAAATGGGGCAAAACTCACTTAACAAATGTCTCACTTAGCTACAGAAATGTTGGGCTCAGTTGTGCTCGTAAGTCGAGGACTGCTTGTTTACTGCCCCATACTGCTT